TTTGTATTTATTCATTTTTTGTAAATTTTTTTGTGAATTTTGGTTTGTATTTGTATATTTTTGTAAATTTGTAATTTGGGTCATTTTGTTGGTGCACAGATTAGCTATAGCCTGGCCTTGTTCTGCTTAAGTTGAGGTTTGGGCTATTGGGTTTTGTAGAATTTGGAAACAGGGTTGGTTAAAGTCCCAGAAAAATGAAATTACTGCTTGTGTTTGGTCAAATTTAGTTTACTGGGCAGTTTTTCTGTTTGTCAAGAGTATTTTTGCCAATGTGAAATCGCGGATTAGCATCTTCTTCTACCATGCATTTGTCTCCTCTGTTTAGTTGTTAATGAACAATGAAGGACTTTGGAGAATTCACAGGTCATGTAGTAGGTGTAGTTCTTCTGATAATATATACTGCCTACTTTGCTAGGAAACTTGTGATGCTTGTATTTATAATTTATGTTTTGGTTGTCTTCTGTAGAGTTGTTTTAGCACCATTGACTAGACAAAGATCATACGGAAATGTTTAAAGCACCAATTGGGTCTTCCATTCATTTCCAGAGCCAAAAAACCAAAACCCAAACACGAGCAAAACCCAAGTGAAGTCTGATAGCTGATATGTCTGCTCAACCTCCCACAATTCCTCTCCTTACCCCTTACAAAATGGGAAAGTTCAACCTTTCTCATAGGTAATCTTTTTTACATTATATTATTGATTAGATATTGCTACAAGGTGAAGAATGTTGGCTTTGTTTATCTATTTTTCTAAATTTGTGTCTTGGGTCATTTTGTTGGTGCAAAAATTAGCCATAACATGCCCTGTTCTGCTAAAAATGGGATTTAGTCCACTTAGAAGTTAGAAGCAGGTGTTTGTGGATAATCCCAGTTGGCTAACAAGAAAAAGAATTTGAGTTACTTCTTGTGTCTTGCCAAATGAAGAAGTTTTATGGTTTGATGGTTCCCAATACACCGTGAGGTGTGAAAATGAAAACCGGAAGGATTCATTTTCTTATTTGTCATCAGTTCATAATGGTTTAACTCTTCCTTATTTTTCTTAAATTTTGTTTTGTTTAGCCAGATATGATAATTATTTGCTGGGTAGTTATATTGTTCTCTTTCAAACCAGTCACACGTCATGGAGTTATAGTTCTGATAGTATACTGTGTTCTCCAGAATTGTTTTAGCACCTTTGGTTAGATAGGGGCCATACAACAATGTTTCTCATCCACACTCCCATATTATGTTACTCTGCATCTATAATTTAAATCTTCCTTCTTTTCCAGAATTGTTTTAGCACCATTGACTAGACAGAGATCATACAACAATATTCCACAGCCGCATGCCATCTTATATTACTCTCAGAGAACATCTCAAGGGGGTCTTCTCATAGCTGAAGCCAGTGGAGTTTCTGACACAGCTCAAGGGTAATTTTAAGAAGAGTAGCGTTCGATTTCCTTTTACATTTCTTCATTTCAATGTTGGATGACATCTCTGTTTTAATTTCTGAAGGTATCCAGATATGCCTGGTTTATGGACAAGGAAGCAAGTTGAAGCGTGGAAACCGATTGTTGGCGCTGTTCATGCTAAAGGCGGTGTCTTCTTCTATCAGATTTGGCATGCCGGGAGGGTTTCAAACAGCGGTGCCGTTCTGTTGTTCACCTCTATGACTTCACTTCTATCATAGAAATACTTATGAGCAATTAGACCATTGAAGCATCAGGAAGCATATTCTTCATGAACATAAGTATTGAGTTCAGATTGTGATCCTCTCTCTCTCTTGCTTACAGTTTTTCAGCCAAATGGGAAGCTCCAATCTCTTGTACCGACAAGCCACTACCCCCCCAAATACTAACTAATGGCGTTGACATTGCTCAATACACACCTCCAAGGAGATTAAAGATAGATGAAATTCCGCAAATTGTCAATGATTTTAGACTTGCTGCAAGGAATGCTATCGAATCTGGTAACTTATCTTTTAAGTTAAATATAAATTAAAATTTTTAAGAAATCGAAATGGATCATAATTAAGTACTAAGCGAATGTACAAACCAAGATCATGCCAGATTGATTCTTGAATTGTACTCGTTTAGAATATCATATGATTTATAATGTTAAGTTAGTAATTTCTTGGCTACATGGAAAATGCCTTTCTGATATATAGGCTTTGATGGGGTTGAAATTCATGGGGCGCATGGCTACCTTATTGATCAGTTTATGAAAGACCAAGTGAACGATCGAACAGATGAATACGGTGGATCGCTGGAGAACCGTTGCCGGTTCACTTTGGAAATTGTTGAAGCTGTTGTTAATGAGATAGGAGCAGATAAAGTTGGAATTAGATTATCTCCATTTGCGGACTATATGGAATCAGCGGATTCAGATCCGAAAGCATTAGGCCTTTATATGTCCAAATCCTTGAACAAATATGGGATCCTGTACTGCCATGTGGTTGAGCCAAGAATGAAGACAGCTGGAGACAAAAGTGAAACTCCGGACAGTCTTCTGCCCATGAGAGAAGCTTTCAAAGGCACCTTCATTGCGGCTGGTGGTTTTGACAGGGAAGATGGGAACAATGCTGTGGCTGAGGGTCGTGCAGATCTTGTTGGTTATGGCCGGTTGTTCTTGGCTAATCCAGATTTGCCAAAAAGATTTGAGCTTAATGCTCCTCTAAATAAATACAACAGAGAGACGTTCTACACATCTGATCCGGTTATTGGCTACACTGATTATCCATTTCTTGAAACCACAGCTTAAGTTTCCTGCAGCCTATGGAAGCTTGAATATACTTTATTCTATATAATCTGGTTGAATATATTGTTACTCTGTATGTATAATTAAATAGAAAAAAGGTGCCTAAAAGTTTTCTTAAGGTTTGGTATTTTACTTTTCTGTGTTGAGCCTCAACCAAGAATCTCTAGTAAAGTGGCGAGTAGGCACTAGACCAACTGGTAGGTTTTTTTTTTATTCAAAGATAAATTTCAACAGTACAATCAAAGACATCAAAAGTACCAATCCGTAGAGGGCAACAAACTAACACGTTAAAAACAAAACTAAAGCTGACAAAAGCCGCATTAAAACTACTTGCCACATCACCACAATTAATCATAAGCCCAAATCCCACATGCCTAACATAACCAAAACCCTAGAGCAACCTATGAGCCTAAACGAACTCTACCACCACTACCACCTGAAGAAGCACAGTCACAGCCACACCCAACACCGCATTCATAGCAAATCTGTGAAGTTTTTCTTTGGGACTCACAGAAGGATAGGGCGACTTGAGTTTTTTCCTCTCCTCACAACATTTTACCAACTGGTAGTGTTGAATAAAGGAAAAAGTAGATGAGGTTAATCTTGGAAGTGCAAATGTGTACATTTAAAATAGGATAAACTATCATTTTGCTCCTGAATTAGGGTTTAGGGTGTGGCCTCAGCCTTTGCAATCGCAGATGATCAATGATCACCACGACATGAATTCACTTTTAAGTCAGCACAACAACTATATAAATATTGCCTAACTTGTTTTGAAGGGCTCTCTAGCTGTACTTAATTACTAGTTTCTAGCTTAATTTTAGATTAATTGTAACACGGACTACTCTTTTTATTAGTTCTATGTCTGGAAGGAATATCCATAATTAAGTGCATGTAGAATGAATTGAGAAATATTGGTATATCCAATGTGGCATTTTAGCATGTAGAAAAAATAATAGAGACTACTCTAATTTAAATGTTAAATCCTACGTGGAAGAATATTTTTCCCTTATACTATTATTTTTGGATGTTTGACTTTGTGATGCTATTTCATTATTTTATTATTTTTTCAATTAATGTGTTCAGAAAGTAATAAACAAATCAACACTAATGTAATAAAATAATTTGTATAAAAAATGTAATAAAACAATTTTTTAATTTGACATTTTAGGTAAAATGTAAAACTTTATTAGAGCATCTGCAACAGTTGCTCAACAGTTCATTTCAGTTCAGTTCAGTTCAATAGTTCAATTTATTAAACTTTTTTGGCTGCTATTGAACTGAAGTGTAGTTTCACTTGCAGTGGTGCAATTCAATAACTTATAAATTACAAACTATATTTTTAAATGATTGAATAAAATAAAATGAATAAAGTTAATTACGATAAGAATTATACAATTAAAATGGTTTCAAAAAGCGATCTTTTAAAGAGATAAATTTTGAATATATATAAATTAATAACAAAATATTCTTTGGATGGTGAAAATATTATATTAACACTTTTTTCTTAAGAATTGGAAATTGAGATTAAATGAGAACACATCATAGCACCTCTTTTTCACGTTATTGTATAACAAAATTGAATATGAATAAGCGAAATTAAAAAGTAAAAAATAATGTTGTCTATTTGTCAATAAGAGAGAGGTTGTAGAGTTATTATGGTGGGCCAAGCTTATTGAAATGAATTTCATTTCAAAGTTCATTTTATTGACCTCAAATGAACTATTGATCCCTGAAATGAAATATTTATATATGAAATGAACTAAACATAATCACTGCAAGTCAAAAGTTCAATTTATTTAAATAAAATTGAAATGACTCTCACCATTGCAGATGCTCTTGTATGTCAAACTGCCACATAAACTATCAAAATCATATGTAATATTTGGTATTTGACATCAAATTCAAATTGCCACACAAACCCCATTACCCAAGGATTAGAAAATAATAATTACAGGTATTATAGAACGACAATTCCTTTTAACTTTTTTTTTTGGTGAAACAATTCCTTTTAACTTTAACTCGAGCAAATGTGCCGCCTGCCCTTTGAACAAATGACGTTGCTTTCATGCATGAATTTATTCAAGAGGCCAAAAAAGGTATTCAACTAAAAAACGCATGGATGCAATTATTTAGACAAAAGTTAAAAATAATAAAGAAGAAAAAAAAAAGTTGCAACAAATATATACTTTGGAGAATTCACAGGTCATGTAGTAGCTGTAGTTCTTCAAATATATACTGCCTACTGTGGTAGGAAACTTTTGATGCTTGTATTTATAATTTATGTTTTGGTTGTCTTCTGTAGAGTTGTTTTAGCACCATTGACTAGACAAAGATCATACGGAAATGTTCCTCAGCCACACGCCATCTTATATTACTCTCAGAGAACATCTAATGGGGGTCTTCTCATAGCTGAAGCCGCTGGAGTTTCTGACACAGCTCAAGGGTAATTTGAAGAAGAGCAGCTTTCTAGTTTTGATGTTTGAGTTTAAGTAACTAAGCTAACATTTGAGGCTGCTTTCTTCATTCAATGTTTGATGACTCTTTTGTTTCTTTCGCATGCGAAGGTACCCAGATACTCCTGGTATATGGACTACGGAGCAAGTGGAAGCATGGAAACCCATTGTTGATGCGGTTCATGCTAAAGGCGGTGTCTTCTTCTGTCAGATTTGGCATGTGGGAAGGGTTTCAAATACTGGTGCGTTTCTGGCATACACCTTTATGACTTCACTTTTATCATTGAAAGCCTTGGGAGTGTAGGTGAAAAATTAACACATTGAAGCATCAGAAAGCTGATTTTTTCTTTCTTAATCTATTATGTGCTGTACATCAAAACAAGTGAATGATTTTACTGGTGATAATTTGTCCAGTGGCAATAAAATTATGGATAGTTATGATTTGAGTTTTATGTGGATGACAACCTTGTATGCTTAGCCAACTGAAGAATAACATGAAAGCTGGATATGTTTGCGTGTCTGAAGAGCATATTTTAATCATCATTATTAATCATTATTTTTACTATCAATGCTGCTTCTGCTGCGGTGGCAGTTTTTGATCAATGGATTTGATATTTCTTTAACAGAACTCTTTCAGATTTGTGATTCTATCTCTCTTTGCTTACAGGTTTTCAGCCAAATGGGCAAGCTCCCATCTCTTCTTCTGACAAGCCACTAACCCCCCAAATTGGTATTGATGTTGAGTTTACACCTCCAAGGCGATTAAGGACAGATGAAATCCCACAAATTGTCAATGATTTTAGACTCGCTGCAAGGAATGCTATCGAAGCTGGTAATTTGTCCTTAAGTTCAATATGAAATAAAATTGCGAGAACACAAAATTGCTTTTCATCTTAAGCAAATGAACCGTATTTAATCCACCAAATGTAGTAAATGGAATATATTTACTTTGAAATTTGATTAGATATGTAATGTGAGAATAATTCACGCTAGATGAATTCTATCGCTGTTCAATCTCAATCTGCAGTTGATATAGGGAGAAACTATCTATTATCTTTTAATTTATAATGGCTTGAATTGTATTCAACTCCCCCTTTAAAAGGATCAGTCAGCTATTCCTGACCATCCACATTTCAATTCAACTTGAGTGGTATCATTCATATAAGTTTTAGGATTTGATGGTTTAATAGTCTAGTTGTGTAAATTTTATTCATTTGAGGGGGGACTTGAAAAGCAATTTTGTAGTTGAACAAAATGTACAAGTCTGCTAGGAATATACGTTTCCCTTAATCTGGTCACGTTATGTCGTATGATCAATCAGTATCAACTTATCATCTTGTCCTTGTTTTAATTACATGTAATCTGCCCTTAAAATGCTAAGTTACAAACTGAAATTGTTTTTCTGATATATAGGTTTTGATGGAGTGGAAATTCTTGGGGCCAATGGCTACCTTCTTGATCAATTTATGAAAAATCAAGTGAATGATCGAACAGACGAATATGGTGGATCTCTGGAGAATCGTTGCCGATTTTCTCTGGAAGTCGTTGAAGCTGTTGTTAATGAGATAGGAGCAGATAATGTTGGAATTAGATTATCTCCATTTGCCAACTGTATGGAATCAGGGGATTCAGATCCGAAAGCATTAGGGCTTTATATGGCTAATTCGTTGAATAAATATGGAATTCTGTACTGCCATATGGTTGAGCCGAGAATGAAGACAGTTGGAGAAAAATGTGCATGCCCCCACAGTCTTGTACCCATAGGAAAGGCTTTCAATGGTACCTTCATTGTTGCAGGTGGTTTTGACAGGGAAGATGGGAACAATGCTGTGGCTGAGGGTCGTGCAGATCTTATCGCCTTTGGTCGTTGGTTCTTCGCTAATCCAGATTTACCAAAGAGATTTGAGCTTAATGCTCCTCTGAATAAGTACAACGGAGAGACCTTCTGCATATCTGATCCAGTTATTGGCTACACTGATTATCCGTTCCTTGAAACCACTGCTTAATTGGTTTACTGTATAGAAGCTTGAACCTTCCTATATTGCATTGCATAATGACAGTAAAATTGTCATTTGGTATAGTGTTGTAGCTTGCGACCACGTAAGTTTAATAAAGATAATCTGTTTTTTTTCTAACTCTTAGCAACACTGTTAAAACGATGAAAACAATGGAATTAAGTAATTAACCCTGTTAAAAAAATGGAATTAAAAGATGAGGAAAAACGATGAAAACAAGCAAATCCAAAGCACCAGCGCCTGCAGTAGAAATAATAACATGCCAAATGCATCCATTCTTTTGAAAGTTTCCAACGTCCCGTACAGATAATCTCAATATACATGCTACATCTCTTACCATGCAATGAATCTGGATTCACTTTGTCAAAGCAGAAAAATGACTACCAAATAAGAATGTTACTATCTCTGGTTGAAACGATGAGAAGATGAGTACGGGCTTGTAGCTACGAATTCAACACTCAAGGCCAGAGTTCGAATCCCCTCCCCCTTTGGCCTCATGCATATGAATTCAACACAAAAGAAAGAGAAACAAGGAGACGATGAAAACTGATATATCATATGACTTTTCGAAAATAATATTAATGGATATGCCTAGGAACAAGGGAATCAGTTGTCGCAAATTGCAATAAAAGTCGGAGTAATGCGGATTATTTAAAAGTTTAAGTCGAGAAGCATCACTGATATTTATGATTTAAGAAAAAGAGTCCTATTCTTTTTCCAGGTAGATCTAGATCAATCAATAAAAACACCAATTGTGCATGGAAATAGTCTGCAGACAATCCATTTAACATACAATGGTTCCATCAATCAACACCAAGTCCGGATCTTAACATGTCACAATTTGATCACCATTTGAGCAACGGTATCATCAATCATAATCACTCACTTGTTGTGAAGCTTTGCACATGCTATACTACTTCTGAATTCTTAGTTATTTCAGTGTAACTTCTTCCACACAAAAAAAAATGATGCTGAAAACATTGAGATTTCATAATGAATTCAAACATATATCAAATTCTGAGTTATTTTGATATATCAAATTTCTTCCATCTAAAAAAAATCATGCTGAAAACATTGAGTTTTCATAATGAATTATGAAAGGTAAATCAGCTTTATGATGCTTCAATGGTCTAATTTTTCACTTATTTCTTCTACGATAGTGAGGTCTTAAGGCGTATGCCAGAAACATACCACTATTTGAAACCCTCCCCACATGCCAAATCTGACAGAAGAAGACACTATCTTTAGCATGAACGGCATCAACAATGGGTTTCCAGGCTTCCACTTGCTCCTTTGTCCATATACCAGGAGTATCTGGGTACCTTTTGCATACGAAAGAAACAAAAATGTCATCAAACATTGAAATGAAGAAAGCACCCTCCAATGTAGCTTAGTTACTTAAAATCAAACATAAGAACTTGAAAGCTTCTCTACTTCAAATTACCCTTGAGCTGTGTCAGAAACTCCAGTGGCTTCAGCTATGAGAAGACCCCCATTGGATGTTCTCTGAGAGTAATATAAGATGGCATGTGGTTGAGGAACACTGTGGTATGATCTCTGTCTAGTCAATGGCATATTGTTTTGCACATTTATTCCTTTAGATGAATTCGGGGCAGTTTTAGATTAATAAATATTAAAATTTAATCATATAAGCTTTTAATTACTTTTTCTTTTGGTATCAATTAATATTTGGTAGTGTTATTTGTCTCCACTTAATTGGAGGAGTTCTCAAGTTCGATTCACATGAATGACGAGAATGATATATATTTGTGATGAAATTGATACTTAATTGTGAGTAGCTCATTCTAGTGATCTAAAACTAGATTGATGAAATTGATACTTTCATCACAATTCATTCTAGAAGACAGAAGGGAAGTCAAAAATGCGAACCACAACAACAAAGTCACTGCAAACGTAGCCCGAGAATGAGCAACAACATCGATTTGAGAAGATGTTTATGTGGGTGCTGATGTATTTGAACATCTTTTAGTTCAGTTTTTGTTTATTCATTAACCACCACGCAATTGCAAACGTCATCAAACGTCTAAATCATCCATTAAAAAACTGCGCAGCTTCCAACTCCTGCCATTGGATTTCTAGTTGCTACCAAAATGTATAAATCCCCAATTGGCTTTCCATTCATTTCCAGAGCCTAAAAACCAAAACCCAAACACAAGAGCAAAACCCACGTGAATTCTGATAGCCGACATGTCTGCTCAACCTCCCACAATTCCTCTCCTTACCCCTCACAAAATGGGAAAGTTCAACCTTTCTCACAGGTACTTAAATCTCTTCTACATTGCATTAAGCTGAAGAATGTTGGCTTTGTTTTATCTATGTTTTTTTCTAAATTTGTATGTTGGGTCATTTTGTTGGTGCACAAATTTAGCCATGGCATGGCCTGTTCTGCTAAAAATGGGATTTAGTCCACTTAGAAGTTAGAAGCAGGTATTTGTGGAAAATACATGTTGGCTAACAAAAATAAGAATTTGAGTCACTTCTTGCGTGTTTCTAAAGGCTTTTCACAAATAGGTTCATTCTAACATGACATGTTATACAAAAACCTTTATAGGGCCTACTTGGAGAGAAAAACTCAAAACTAGCCAATTGTCATTTTCTAATTGGATCTTAGCGGGTTAAACTTTTCTAAGAACCAAAGAGAAAATAACAAGTAGTTGCATAAAGAGGAGTACATATCAAAATGGTGCATTCTTTTCGAGTTTGGGTTGTGAATTGATAATGTCTTGCAACTTCTGGGGTAGTCTCTGTTGATGTCTACATCTGCTAAAAATACTTGTCCTGCTTTCTGTTTTTTGCAGTTGTCAAATTCCTAGCTGCTTGCCTGTGCAGAATAGTAATTTATTCTTATTATTCTTGTGGGGAATCCTTGAAGTTGATGATAATCTGACGATATCTTCATAAGTAAAACATATGAATCTGATAAAAATAAATAAAAATAAAGGACATACATCTCTCTATCTATAATTTATATTCTCTGTGTTTTCCAGAATTGTTTTAGCACCATTGACTAGAATGAGATCATACAACAATGTTCCACAGCCGCATGCCATCTTATATTACTCTCAGAGAACATCTAAAGGGGGTCTTCTCATAGCTGAAGCCAGTGGAGTTTCTGACACAGCTCAAGGATAATTTTGAGAAGAGAAGCTTTCCGGTTTCTTTTACCATTGGTTTTAATTGAATACCATACATTTGAGTGTGTACTTTCTTCATTTCAATGTTGGATGACATCTCTATTCCTTTCATATCTGAAGGTTCCCAGATCGTCCTGGTTTATGGACAAGGGAGCAAGTTGAAGCGTGGAAACCGATTGTTGACGCTGTTCATGCAAAAGGCGGAGTTTTCTTCTGTCAGATTTGGCATGCGGGGCGGGTTTCAAACAGCAGTGCGTTTCTGTTATTCACCTTTATGACTTCACTTCTATCATAGAAATACTTATGAGCAATTAGACCACTGAAGCATTAGGAAGCTGACTTTTCAGGAACATATAATCTATTGTGTTCAGATTGTGATTCTGTCTCTCTTTGTTTTCAGGTTTCCAGCCAAATGGGCAGGCTCCAATATCTTGTACCGACAAGCCACTTACCCCCCAACTACTAGCTAATGGCGTTGACGTTGCTCAATACACACCTCCAAGGCGATTAAGGACAGATGAGATTCCACAAATTGTCAATGATTTCAGAATTGCTGCAAGGAATGCTATTGAAGCTGGTAACTTATCTTTTAAGTTAAATATAAATCAAAATTTGCAAGAAATCAAAATGGACCATAAATAACTACTCAGCCAAATGTACTTAATAACGAAGATCACGCCAGATTGATGCTTGAATTGTATTTGTTTAGAATATCATATGATTTATAATGTTAAGTTAGTAACATCTTGGCTACATGGAAAATGCTTTTCTGATATCTAGGCTTTGATGGGGTTGAAATTCATGGGGCGCATGGCTACCTGATTGATCAGTTTATGAAAGACCAAGTGAACGATCGAACAGATGAATATGGTGGATCGCTGGAGAATCGTTGCCGGTTTGCTCTGGAAATCGTTGAAGCTGTTGTTAATGAGATAGGAGCAGATAAAGTTGGAATTAGATTATCTCCATTTGCGGACTATATGGAATCAGCGGATTCAGATCCAAAAGCATTAGGCCTTTATATGGCCAAATCCTTGAACAAATATGGGATCCAGTACTGCCATGTGGTTGAGCCAAGAATGAAGACAGTTGGAGACAAAAGTGAAAGCCCTGACAGTCTTCTGCCCATGAGAGAAGCTTTCAAAGGCACCTTCATTGCTGCTGGTGGTTTTGACAGGGAAGATGGGAACAATGCTGTGGCTGAGGGCCATGCAGATCTTATTGTCTATGGACGTTGGTTCTTGGCTAATCCAGATTTGCCAAAAAGATTTGAGCTTAATGCTCCTCTAAATAAGTACAACAGAGATACGTTCTACATATCTGATCCGGTTGTTGGTTACACTGATTATCCATTTCTAGAAACTGCTTAAGTTTCCTGCCGCCTATGGAAGCTTGAACACATACTTAGATTTATATACAGTATTAATCTGCTTGAATGTGTATTATTACTATTTTTGCATTGCGTGTATAATTAAATGCAAAGAAAAAAAACTGTGAATAAAAGTTCTCATTAGGTCTGGTATATTATGTTTCTGCGTAGACCAATATATGTATCAAGTGTTCTGTATGCGGTATCCTCACTCAAGAGTCTTGAGTAAAGTGAAGACTGAATGCCACTAGACCAATAAGTAGAATAAAAGTAAATGAGGTTACTCTTGGAAGTGTCAATGTGTGCATTTAAAATATGTTGCTGATATGACATTTTAATTGTCGTAGATTTTAATCCAGTGAAACGCCAGTGAAAAGGGTTAAGAATTAAGATGCAAAGCCAGTGAAAACAAGGAGAATATCTAAGTCCTCTCTTTGGAGTCAGCCAGGACCTAGTGTTGTTAAGTTCCTTTTGTTTCTTGGTTGGGTCATTCCAGTACAGAACAATAAAAAAAACCTAACGCATGGGGAAATGCCAAATGCAAAATCAGATAGCGAAGGAAGTAAGGCCTGGTATATCTGCCAAATGCAAAATCTTAAAAGAATTAGAATCCGGTCTCTTAGAAAGAATTGGATCTCTTAGAATCCGATCTCTTAGAATTAGAATCCGGTCTGTTTAGTTGTTAATGAACAGTGAAGGACTTTGGAGAATTCACAGGTCATGTAGTAGCTGTAGTTCTTCTAATATATACTGCCTACTTTGCTAGGAAACTTGTGATGCTTGTATTTATAATTTGTGTTTTGGTTGTCTTCTGTAGAGTTGTTTTAGCACCATTGACTAGACAAAGATCATAAGGAAATGTTCCTCTGCCACACGCCATCTTATATTACTCTCAGAGAACATCTAATGGGGGTCTTCTCATAGCTGAAGCCACTGGAGTTTCTGACACAGCTCAAGGGTAATTTGAAGAAGAGCAGCTTTCTAGTTTTGATGTTTGAGTTTAAGTAACTAAGCCATTTGAGGGTGCTTTCTTCATTCAATGTTTGATGACTTTTTTGTTTCTTTCGTATGCGAAGGTACCCAGATACTCCAGGTATATGGACTAAGGAGCAAGTGGAAGCATGGAAACCCGTTGTTGATGCGGTTCATGCTAAAGGCGGTGTCTTCTTCTGTCAGATTTGGCATGTGGGAAGGGTTTCAAATACTGGTGCGTTTCTGGCATACACCTTTATGACTTCACTTTTATCATTGAAATCCTTGGGAGTGTAGGTGAAAAATTAACACTTTGAAGCATCAGAAAGCTGATATTTTCTTTCTTAATCTATTATGTGCTGTACATCAAAACAAGTGAATGATTTTACTGGTGATAATTTGTCCAACGGCAATAAAATTATGGATAGTTATGATTTGAGTTTTATGTGGATGACAACCTTGTATGTTTGCGTGTCTGAAGAGCATATTTTGATCGTGATTATTGATCATTATTTTTACTATCAATGCTGCTTCTTCTGCGGTGGCAGTTTTTGATCAATGGATTTGATATTTCTTTAACAGAACTCTTTCAGATTTGTGATTCTATCTCTCTTTGCTTACAGGTTTTCAGCCAAATGGGCAAGCTCCAATCTCTTCTTCTGACAAGCCACTAACCCCCCAAATTGGTATTGATGTTGCTGAGTTTACACCTCCAAGGCGATTAAGGACAGATGAAATCCCACAAATTGTCAATGATTTTAGACTCGCTGCAAGGAATGCTATCGAAGCTGGTAATTTGTCCTTAAGTTCAACATGAAAAAAAAATTGCGAGAACTCAAAATTGCTTTTCAGCTTATGCCAGTGAACCGTATTTAATCCACCAAATGTAGTAAACGGAATATATTTACTTCGAATTCTGATTAGATATGTAATGTGAGAATAATTCAAGCTAGATGAATTCTATCGTTGCTCAGTCTCAATATGCTGTTGATATAGGGAGAAACTATCTATTGTCTTTTAATTTATAATGGCTTGAATTGTATTCAACTCCCCCTTTAAAAGGATCTGTCA